TACATGTGTGGATTTGATGCAATGTGATGCAGAGGAGGTGAAGAGATATTAGTGATATGGTTATGAGCAGAGCAAGGTGTGGTGACGTCATAAAGTTTCATGATTACAGAGTCCTTCTTTTAGTTCCAGAACTTTAGTGAAATATTTTATTCGGAAAATCATCCAAATGAGAGATAAAACGTTAAGATAACACTTCCAAATGTTCAAGAAAAATGTAATCGCATTTATACAAAATACACTCTACAACAACAGCACAATTATAATCTCAGTATCCCATCGCATCTCTAAGATGTTTACTGTTAATTTCCATGGATTTTATATTTTTAAGGGGGTGTCTAATCTGAAAAATCACCCAAACGAGGGGTAAGATGGCAAGAAATTGTTTTCAAATGTTCTAGGAAAGTGTTTCTCTAGTCACTTCCTACAAAAACTTTTTGGGCGACAATGTCATAACATACTTCAGTTAGGCAGAATAAGACCTACATCGGGACAACATACCCAAATTCATAAAGAGAGCGGTACCGAAAAATTAAAACGTCTTAGGGTATAGGTATGTTCAAGACCAGAGCTGTCATCTGATCACTCAATGCGCGCAATGTACTGATTTTCTGAAATAAACAAACAGAAAATCAAGCAAACACAAAGTTTGCTTGTCTTTCACCCTGCGCAAGTGTAAAGCAACGGAGAAGAGAAGACACACAACCAGAAATAACGAAAGCTCAATGTGTAGCCATCGCTCCGACGGCTCCGACGCAAAGAGCGCCACTCAGTGTAGTAAAAAGACAAAATTATTCTTCGTTATGCCTTTCTTCATCTCCTATGCATGCAGTCGTGGTAAGCAAAGTCTGCAAAGAATTCAAAAAAGACATTAGCGCTTGTTGTATTATATTCACTCCCTGCGCCGCACGGACTGTACCGCTCATTGTGTACAGATTAGTTGGAAAAGAGTGTGCGAAGTAAATGGGAGAACCACACACTCTTTGTCGAGTGTTGTGAGATGCATGCACAAAGTTGCTTTGCTAACGCTCTGAGGTGCTTTCCAGCTCTGTTCAAGACTTTTTCTCAGGGGACAACATGAATGTCAAATATGGTCAATTTTATCAGTTTTAGAAAGTTGTGTAATTCGTATAATCAGACAAGACCAATAATATTTTTAAATTGAATAAAATAACAATAAAGTATGATTAAAATCATCGGATTTAGAGTGTTTTCATTCCTTTGGTTTGTTGAAATAATTACTTTATGGAAATCTCAACATACCAGCTCATCCTATGGTTTTTTTTTACAGTGAATTTACATGAATTCTAGATTCTTAGGAGGTACCCAAAAAAAAAAACACCCCAACGGGGTGTGTTTTCAAATGTTCTAGAAAAATGCTCCTCAAGTCAATTACTACAAAACACTTTTGGACGGCAATGTTGTAACTTAAAGCATGTACAGAATACGACCGACATCGGGACAACATAGCTAAATTCGTAAAGAGGGCGGTACCAAAAAATTAGGACGTGTTAGGATATAGGTATATTCAGAACTTTTACTCAGTGTTATTAACTATCAACCGCAGAAACTATATTAATTGTCGCGTATCTCTGTTGTTCATTACATACCAAACGAAAACTTAATCATATTTTATCGTGGAGTGTTGTGGTTTTGAGATGTTCGATGACCCTAGAGAAATCATTTTTGCTTACTGAGCAGAAAATTATGGATTTAATCCCAAGCTCTCCCACAACAGAATGAACCACCATCGCCGGGTTTCGAGATCATAAAGCGCCGTAATAATCAAAAGTTGAAATGTTAAAATTGTTATCGCATTGGAACTATTTCTCGCCTCTCAATAAACCATAAACTTTAAAATACACTAACACTAAATCCAATCAACGAAGTATACCGTAACAACGCTAACGATATGAAAGCATCATTATATAATTCTCAAATTTGATTCAAAGCAGAGCAGCACTCTCAATAATTAATTCATATATAATTAGATAACTCATTCAAAATTCATATTATTTCCAGCTTACACATTCCATATCATTTTGCAGCACCGTGGCCAACTCAATCCAAAAAAAATCCAACCACCCACTTAAATCTAATCATAATCCCTTCCCATGGCGATCATGTAGCCTGCATGTGACGAGTAAGCCATTACCCCTCCTTTAGTGGTGTTATTTTAGAGATTTTTTTTTGTCCAGAATGAAGTGTGAAGGCTTGTTTCAATTAGAATCTGAACGCAGAATTTAGTCAATAGTAGTACCTAGCGGTTGATTCAGGAATGTTTTACTAGCCTCTCTCGCAGTGCTGATTTTGCAAAGATTTGTCAGGTGGAAGACGAAAGCAGCTCAGTTGCAAAAATCATGTAAACAGCACAAAGAGATATCCCGCCATGTTTGAATTCATTTTCACAGACACATTCGCCCGGACGATGGGGACGTAAACGTGTTAAATCTTTGAAATTGATCCTAGAACTCCGCGGTTTTTCAAAAACACTTGGAACTGTGATATAAGAAAGAATTTGACGTCGTGACATAAAAATGGACCTGGATGGCTGTGGAACCGTACTCCGGAAGATCCGGTACATCCTTAAAAGCTGCCACTCTATGGAATTGATATAAGAATCAATTTGGGGTTTAGGCATGGGATCGCCCTCTGGAAGATCTTTAACATTCGTTGAGTCATCAAACTGATCCTAGAGCTACGCGTTTTTTAAGCACTAGGAGCTGTGATATAGGAATGAATTTGGGGTAATGACATAAACATGGATCTGGATGGCCATGGGACCGTCCTCCGGAAGATTTGGAACGCGCGAAAAAATGCACAGGGCATGAAACTGATCCTACAGTTTTACCTGACTCGCATCGAATATACGTTATATCCGGAAGAACATGGAATCGTCTTATTTTGCATTGAAAATGATATGTTAAATTAGATATTCGTTATGGGACAGGTAACACAATAGAGCTCCCAGGTTTTTTTTTTCAAAGACACTTGAAACTGTGATAAAAATGAATTTGGAAACGTGGCAATTATAGACATGAACATGGACATAGGATCGTGCTTCGGATTCAATCTACGGAAGTATTCACTCCACGAAACTTATCCTAGACGTTTACAGTTTTTCTGTTTTTATTATCAGACAGGTTTGGGTCGAATGTTCTCAAATCTCTCTATGAAAATTTGCTTATAGGTATAGTATATTAAAAAAAATATTCAAAAATGTTGGCGTGGTAAATCTTTCCTGGAAAACTTTAATTGAAGCTGTCGGATTATCGCGGACATCAAGTACTTTGAAAAATCATAAGTCATACAGCAAATTATATTTTATATGGATTTCTGACATAATTTCCATCAGTTCACTAAAAATATTTGCTCTACAATGCTTGGTTCATGAAATATGAATTTTAAAGGTACATGATGTCCGAGAAGATCCAAGAACTTCTACTAAAGTTTTCCGGGAAAATTTGCCAATCCAATTTATTTGAATTTTTGTTTCGTTCATGAGATCATAAACCTTGCCTGTGGTCTAAATTTCACAGCATTCTTCAGCCCGTTTTACCCAATAATTAAAAACAATCCAAAACTGTCATGTATTAATAAACTTGGACCCAGCTAGCCATGGGAACATTCTCCAAACAATCCAGTACATCTGATACATAGTTTTTTTTTAAGACTTTATTATCGAGATTTTTCAGCTCCCAGCTCCATAGTTTCATAAAACATGGATTAAAAATAAAATACAATTTGCTTCTATTGTACTGACAAGAAAAACATGAGCAGAGTAACATGCAATACATGCGGTGTTTTCTTTGTGCTCAAAACATCACACTGTAACACAACAATATGTGGAAGTTGTATTTAGCAATAAGAATGTGAACATTGTTAAACATTAGGTTTTGATGCTGAATAAAAAAAAACATGAAAACAATTATAATTTTTGACGTCTGAACTACGTCTGTGATTTTTATATGGGGGTACACTTTGTTAAAACTGAAAATGGGACATGTAACAAAATCATGAAAGATTTTGAACGTTAATAACTCAGCTGCCCCTAGACCAATTTCAATAATTTAATCACCAATCGATCAGAAATATTTCTACTTTTTCTATTTCTAGAAAATGTGGTAATTTCAAGCATAATGTACAAATAAAAAGCGATGATTTTATCTCTGATTTCATGAAATAAACGTTCTTCCCAAACCCAGTCGTCATAATCGAGTACCACTTGGTTGCACATCATTCTGCTTTAACCTGAATAGATATAAAAGAGTGCTGTTGTCTAGCCTCAACTCATTATTAACAAACATGCTTTTCTTAAAAGCAAAATGTAAACTATTACAATGTAAAACTAAAATCAAACAGTAACTTGTTGCAGACACAATCACCAAACATGAAGAGGTTTCGGGCTAAATCAATTGAAATGTACAATAATTGTAAACCACAAGACAATAAGTAAATAAACAAACATTTTAGTAGTAGTAGCCTCAACTTATTTTCGCTTCGGACGACATTATGAGCAGGCAGCAGAAGCAGCAATAGCAGCAGTAGGAAGGTGGACGCAGGTTAGGTAGTGCACTCTTCTACCCAACAAGCTACAATTACTGGTCTTGCTAAAGGAGGCGCCAAGCGTCATCGCAAGGTTCTTCGTGATAACCGCCATCCGTCGTCTTGCTAACCTTGGCGGTGTCAAACGTATCTTCGGTCTGATCTACGAGATGTGCTGAAGGTGTTCCTGGAAAATGTGATCCGTGATGCTGTCACCTACTCTGAACACGCCAAGCGTAAGCGGCCATGAATGTCGTCTACACTTTAAAACGACAGACGCACTCATCACCAACTTTGGCAACAAAACGTTTCAGGGCCAACAAGCTTATTACAGTAAAGAGTTGGAATGGAATTTATCTGTGCCTGTTTGTCTGTGTCTGTGCGTATGTTTGTCCAACACAAACAGTCACATTACTCGGTTACTGATGAACTTTTATATTTCTTGTCTTTACAGGTAGATCCACTTGCTGCATCAAAACTGTTCCAGCCTTAAATTCAAGCGTTAAACGCGTCTTGGTAGAATCAAACCAAGAAATTAGGTAAATTATTTATATGATTATTTTTCAAGATCCACTGCAGAATAGTTGAAAATGAGTTATAGGAAAATCATCTTCTTTCCGGACACCCAGATGTATCCATATTGTTTATCCTTGACCTGAAGTGCCTCAGTATCCTAAAACTGCATTTTTGAAGCATTAAGCAACGTTTTAGCGAATGCCACTCATAAGGAATATTTGGTTAATAATTTAACGTCATTTTAACACGTTATCGATTTTGGCAACAGAGTAGACGACCTTCTCAGATTCGCATAAAACTTTGCATAATTGTGTTTTATAATGGGTAATCATTCCCATATTTACAAAAATGCTGCCATTCTAAATGGTGTCTTTTGACGTAGGATTACGTCTTTCGGCAACATATTGGGGGTGCAATTTAAAAAAAAAAAACAAAATGAACCACATTACGAAAAGTGGTCAGGTTTTGACCACATATAACTCTGTCAATAGCGGATGGGTTTTAATTCTAAACAAGCCCATCGATTAGACATTTTCCTACGAATCTGCTAAATTGAATACATAACTAATTTTCAATAGGTCACTACTGAAAATTACAAAAAAGTCCAACTGTTGCAATAGTGATCAAAATTATCACCGATTGCATGTTAACAGCGCATTCCGTTAAACAGAATTCGATCCTGTCTCCCTGAACGGTGCTTATTCAATCACCGTGTATGGTGAGGTCCGGTCGGTCGTCAGCAGCGACCTGCAGCCTACATAAGCGTCCATTCACCGAAGAAGGAGGAAGAAGTCTCATCGCTTCTGATCGGGATCCATCTTCGTGAGTCGCTGTCGGCCATCTATGCCAAGCGCGTCACCCTCGTTCCAAACAACATACAGCTCGCAAGCCTCATCCGTGTTGAACACCCTAATAGTGCAGTATCACGAAAAAACGGTCATTTTCAGGACCACCATAAATTTGGTAAAGAGTATTTTTTGGACATTTGTCAAGGTCAAAAATCGGATGTCAGTTCCCATATGATTTAATCTAACATACCATATATTTTTAAGGCAACATTGGGGGTGCAATTTCAGAATCCAAAGTCGGTCGCGGCATGTCTGATTTTGATCCAGAGATGATGGATTTTAATTCTGAATACACAAGTCGGTAGGAAATTGTTCTCAAATCTATATGATTGATCGCGAATATCTCGCGATTGGAGAAATTTTTGCAAGAAATTCCTTCAATCATTTTTCCCTTTTTTATTATCTATTGAATAAACCAAAAGTTCTGTGCACAAAAATGCGTAATTTTATATCAGAAAACCAGGCGTTCCCATGATGGGAAAAGTGGTTTCCCTATCACAGTCGCCGAATATTGATTCCAAGCACCTATCTTTATGCCTTTTGTTGTGAATTTTAAGCCCCTCCTATTTAAAGAATTACGCAAAAAAAAAAATTGCCGAATTCTCCTAATAGAAAATAGAGGCTTAAAATTTGCATCTAAAAGCATAAACGTAGGTACCGTTCGGTAGGCTTAGATTGAGATGTGTTTTCCCTAATAGATGATTGATGTGTTTTCCCTAATACATATTTCATTTCCCACAGCTTTCATCTCCAAGAACATCGAGGACAAATTTCCACAGCATTGTTCTAAACTGGCTTCCAAGCTTCTAACCTATCGGTCCTTTTCAGGACCACAAATGACTGATAAAAGAGTTAAATAAAGAGTAAAAGCTTGTATCCAAGACATATCTTCCAGGATTGCTTTTTGGCCTTATTAACCTCCGCTATATGTTCTTTAAATCTAGTTGCTAAAGTTGTCTTGGTTTGTCCTACGTATACTTTGTTACAATGAGCTGTACGATAGGAAGCTAAACAGACTACGACACGAGTCTCAACGGAGGTGGAGGACACACTGAACGGATGAGCAGATCCCATCCACCATCGAAACGACGCCTAGGGTTCAGTCCATTGCTGGGTTGGCTGTCAACCGATCGACGACCGCATTCACGGAAGAACAATTGACAAACCTCAACAAGGGGCTAGGATACGCAGTTACAACAAAGCCAGACGTGGAGCAGATCATCATTGACGTAGAGACAGCGATTACCAAGTCACTTCCAGCATCATCACAGAATACGGTCAGGACTATCACATCGAACGTAATCAAGGACGGACAGGAACAAAGTCGCACCAACGAGAAGGAAATTCGGATTGTAAAGGAGCTGAAAAGTAAAGCAGTATACTATGTGAAAGCAGACAAGGGCAACGCAGTCGTTATCATGGACAAGGACGATTACGACAATCAGATGACAACGAAGATTAACAACGGACCGTATAGACAGCTTCGAGTAGACCCCTTAAAGAACATAGTGAAACGCATGGAGAAAGCACTGAAGGAGTGCAAATCCCATTCTACCCAGGATCAAAGGTCTCCCAAAAGTCCACAAACCGGAGAATGAAATGCGAGAGATAGAGTCTCCAGCTTACAGTTTTTATTAAAACTTCAAAGTTACAGCATTTGATGGTTACATTTCTCCAGTTCGAACGAAATCTCGAACCTTCCTCTTGATGGAGCCCATCAGCATCCGTAGGACGAAGAAAATCTAATGGCGTTTCAATGCGTTAGGACGGAATTGAAACTCGTAGGACGAATTTAGAATCAAGAAGCAGTATTAGATTTTAAACAATATCTCAACAACTTGTGACGCTTTATCAAATTCGATGGTACGTATGGAAAGGTGATTAAATATACAAGTCATCTTCGATAGAAATATTCCTTTTTTTGTTCAAACCCGTTCAAAAAATAGAGGTAAAGCGGGGGTTGTCCTTAAAGGGCGAACACGAAATTATTGCGACACCGAAAATGTCATGCCAATTTTCTTATAATGTTTAGAATCAAACCAAAATTTTAGGGTAGTTTTATACATATATTTACTTCAAAAATCAAATGAAAAGTTAATCGATGGAGCCTTGAGTGTAAAATTGAACGCATTTTCGCTTGATGCCCTCCACTGTCTTTACAGTGTCATCCGGTACCAGTTTCTCAGTTTTTTTTTTTCCATTTTCTTAACCTGTCCTTCTTGTCTTTGACTGTCTTCTTGCTCTTCCGAAGTTCCCGCTTCATTATTGCCCAGTACTGCTCCACCGGGCGCAGCTCCGGACAGTTTGGCGGATTCATGTCCTTTGGAACAAAATGGACAGAATTGGCCTCATACCACTCCAGGACACTTTTAGAATAGTGGCATGATGCCAAATCTGGCCAAAATAGCGGAGCTTTGTCGTGCTGCTGCAAGAACGGCAAAAGGCGCTTCTCGAGGCACTCAGATTTGTAGATCTCGCCATGTACTGTGCCCTTTGTCACGAAAGGCTCACTCCTCAGTCCTCAAGAGCAGATGGCCTGCCAAATGAGATATTTGGAGGCGAACTTCGACATTTTCTTCTTCTTAAATTTGTCGTCCACATCGAACTTGCTCTTGCCGGTGAAAAACTCCAACCCCGGAATTTGCTTAAAATCGGCTTTTATATACGTTTCGTCTTCCATCACACAGCAGCCATATTTTGTCAGCACCTTCTCGTAGAGCTTCCGTGCCCGAGTTTTAGCCGTCGATTGTTGGAAGTTCTGTACCTTGTATGTATGTAGTCCAGCTCTCTTCTTTGCATTCTGGACGTAGCTCTGCGACATGCCGATCTTTTTAGCCAAATCACGGCTTGAGGCATTGGGATTTGCTTTAATCATCCGCTTCACCTTTCCCTCCGTCTTTTTGTTCTCCGGTCCCGGTTTTCTTCCAGCTCCTTTGCCGTGGTCCAACGTCAACCGCTCCTGGAACCGCTTCAACACTCTGGAGACGGTTGAATGGTGAATGTTCAACATTTTTCCCAACTGCCGGTGCGACAGGTCAGGAAATTCCAGGTGTTTGGAAAGAATTTGTTCTCTCAACTCGCGTTGGTTCACCTCCATTTTCGTTGAATCGAAAAACACGACTTCGAGTTTGACAGCATGTACACAATACACATCAATGAGAAAGTGTGCAAAATTTGGTTGATTTTTACCCAATGGTAAAAAAGTTATGCCCTGTTGAATGTGTCGCAATAATTTCGCCCTTTAGTAGGACGGAAATTAGATCAAAAACCCTATTCTATGCATGCAACATTTTTTTCTGGAGAATATAGTGATTTGTGTCTGGTACGTTTAGTTTAAATGCTGCACGACTGGTTTTTGGAAATTCAAACGATTAACCGTTCTGAAATAATGATTTCTTTTTCTATGAAGCCGATTTATATTTTCGTAGTTCCGATGAAAGCCAGCTCATTAAAATCCTAAATGACCGTTAGATTTTTGGTTATGTTTATAAGGTACGTCACCAGTACGATGCATGTTAGAAATTCTTCAAAGGTGTCATAATCAATTACCTAATGGCTGCTTTATGTTGCTCCCAGATCCAAATGTTTTTGGATGAAATAGTACTATTTGTAATAGTACGGGATTTGCGGCAGTGAGAGCGAGGCAACTAATAATAGTTGTCTCTCTCATACCACAACACCTCCATTCCATATGGGACGAGCCCCGTTGTGTGTGCAGATATTTTAAAGGGCAAAGTCAGCGGGAATTTCTTGTACATTTTCAAAGTCAATGCATATAAGCATATTCGTTGCAAGTATGCATTGGTTTTCAACTCACTTTAAAATAAACGATAAAGCACACGCAGAAGATTTCTTTCATTGAAAAAACAAACATTTTCTTCTTTCCTGTGAAGAGTGTTCTAAACAACGATATTTTTCATTTTCCTTTTCTTTGCTTTCGTAGCGTTTGTAATATTACGGTTTAGATTTTTGATACGGATATACAATCGTGTTCTGAAAAACAGTCTTTAAGCATTATCTGGTAAATCTACACCCTTAGATGTGTTCATACAAGATTCAATGGCTTGTTTATCTTCATCAAACGTTTCGCCATGAACTCGTTTGAATATGTTGTCTAATCACATTATCTTGATGGTTAAACTACGGTCTGGTTTTATCAAACCACCTTCGGAAAC